GACAACCCCTTGCGCTGCGGCTGCCCCGCGCGCCCCCTGCTGGCCTGGCTGCGCAACGCCACGGAGCGCGTACCCGACGCGCGCCGCCTGCGCTGCGCCGCCCCGCGGGCGCTGCTCGACCGGCCTCTGCTGGACCTGGACGAGGCGCGGCTGCGCTGCGCAGACGGCGACCTCGACGGGCGTGGAGAGGAGGCCGACGCCGCGGGCCCGGAGCTGGAAGCCTCTTACGTCTTCTTCGGGCTGGTGCTTGCGCTCATCGGCCTCATCTTCCTCATGGTGCTCTACCTGAATCGCCGCGGCATCCAGCGCTGGATGCGCAACTTGCGCGAGGCCTGCCGGGACCAGATGGAGGGCTACCACTACCGCTACGAGCAGGACGCGGACCCGCGTCGCGCGCCCGCGCCCGCCGCCCCCGCCGGCTCCCGCGCAACGTCCCCAGGCTCCGGCCTCTGAGCCTCGCGCCTGGAGGTGGGGGCCGCCCCGCCGGCCGAAGACCTCGCTGGGGAGCGCGGAGCTCCGGGCCCACCCAGAGCAGCCCTAGACGTGGACTATGGCGTTCCCTTCGGGTGCTCCAAGCTGTACCCCCTCCCAGGAGTCACCACATCTGATTCCACAAACTGCACCTGCCCACCTGCTCTGAAAGCCCGCACATGCTTTCCAGAATCACCTAGAGACTCTTTCAATCCCGGAAACAGACAGCCTCCACCACTCTGCTTTGAGCCTGCTGCCTGCCCTGCACTGACCCTAACCCCAGCTGAAAGCCCTCGGTCCCTCTTCCCACGGCTCAGAGGCTTCACGTCCCATTCTGGTCTCCAAAGCCAAGCGCCCCCATCAGAAGGATTTTTAGACTTTGAGCCCTTTGTGCTGCCCAGGAGCTCTGAGCCTCCATTCTGCTTGGAGACCTGCGTCCTGGGGCCAACGGTTGGCCCCAGCCCCTACCCTGACGGTGCACTCCGCACCCCAGCCCTGGCTCAGCCCCTCTCTTCCGTGGCTCGGGTTTAAGACTTCCATCCCATCTGCCTTTCCCTTTCCAAGGAGGAGCAGCCGTTTTCTAGCCTTCATGTGGCTTCCATCCTCAGCCTTCTCCACCAGTGTTCTGACCCCTCACCACTCTCTATAGATGCCCCGACCTCAGACTCCTCACTCATCCACCCGAGGTTCATGTCCCCACCTAAGTTTAAGCTCTCATTCCCCTATACCCATAACTTGGGCTTGTAGCCACCCTGCCCTTCCCCTGCCAGAGTTCCATCGAGGAATCCATGGCTGGGCTGGGCCACCCCCTTCCCTCCCAGGATGAGCTCTCAGCCCCACGAGACAAGTGCAGATGCCAGCATCTCCAGTCCTCATGGGGAAGGAGAGTGCTCGTTGTGTCCCGGATGGTGGCACATCAGAGCCGGGGTTGCAGGCCCTTCATGGCCTCAGAGTTGTGAGGGAGGGCCTGTTTCTTCACGCTGCTCTCCCCTGCCCCACTGTCTTGGGGGACTCCTTGTCACCACACCCCCACCCCAGCTGGTAGGCCTCTGGGAGAGGATTAGGGTCTCACTTCCTGTCTCAGGCACAAACCCTCCTGTTCAGGGTCAGAGCCTCAGCGCCCTGCCTTGTGCATGATCCCAAAGCACAATTGGTGAGTGGGGACTCGGCTGTCCTCCCTGACCCCTGCCGCAGGCCAGGCAGAACGGCTGGCCTGTGCTGCCTCTGCTCACAGGATGTCTCCTTCCCTTACCATGTCGGCTCCAGGCCCACCTTCCTAGCCCTTCCCCAAGAAATAGAGACCTCCCTTGGGCAGTTTTCTATAAAGTCTGCAATAATCTCAGATGCACTCCTCTTGTAAGTGGTTCCATGTTGTTCCTGCTCACCTTGGGACCTTTACGGGGGTAGGAAGTAACACAGGGAGGGCCTTTTGTGCCTCTTGGAGGTGGGGCAGTGGCCCTTGACATGTTCTGAGTGCGTGGGGAAAAAGCTGTGGTTATACATAGCAGGATGGGAGCTAGATGTGCAGAAGGACTTCCCAATGGGGTGACATCGCTGTCCACACAAGCCTGCTCTTTAGCACTTAGGTGGGTCTAGGCACTCCCAGGATGGGATTCAAAGCTTGGCTACATCATCTTCCTCTCCCATTCCTCCTCCTTTGGAAAGTGGAAGAGGAAGTAAATGCAGGCCCAGGGTGCAGCTGTTGGGAGGAAATCCAGCTACAGGGTGGGTATGAGAGGCCTTTAACGCAGATAGAGAAGATGAGGGGCCATATGCTGCTCTGGGGTTCCCCTAGTGGGGGGTGTGAATGGTCCTGCAAATATGTGGAGCAAGGAGACAGATGACTCCAGACTATTGGGGCTAATACCCTGCCTTGAAGTCCCCAGACTGCTTTTTGCATTTGGGGTCCCAGGACTCTGGAACCATGGACAGAAATCCAGATGCTGGCATTTTAGCAGTTCCACATAATTCTAGAACATATGCCTCCTGAGCAGTTCAGGGGACTCAGTGATGTGGACCCCCCACAGCTGTCTCAAGGAGCACCCTCTCGCCACAGGGAGCTCTCGCCTTCCCCTTCTGAGACCAGTCCTATCACTGCTGGAGGAGTCTGCTAGGAGCCAGGAGTGGGCTGCGTCCCCGGCCAGCCCTGCACCATCAAGAGATAGTGCCCATCTTCTCCCATCCTTCTTCCAGTTGCTCCTCTGAGGAGGAGTTGAATACCCTAGAGGCACCCCCAGCTGCCAGTGACAATCAAAGGTGCCCTGACAATACCCTGGGACAGTGGTGACAAATCTATGGCATATTGCTGCAGAAGGTACGCAGCGTCATCTGCTGGCATGCAAGCCAAGCCCCAGTGTCACCCCTGAAACCAAGCGTCAGATAACAGTGCACACAGGGGTGGTGTTGGCACTCTGCAGTAAATAAGTGGGTTCCTGGTCACATTTTGGGCATTCAGTCTCAAAAAGTTTCACCATTACTGCCCTAGGACAAAGTGATTGTCTGTCTGTTTGTCTGTGTCTCCGTCTGTCTCTCTGTCTCTGTCTCTGTCTCTGTCTCTCTCTCTCTCTCTCTCTCTCTCTCTCTCTATATATATATATATATCTCTCTATCTCTATCTCTATCTGTCTCTCTGTCTGGTTAGAGAACTGTCTCTAACAGATAAACTCCTCCATTGCACCCTCTGGTAATGTAGCCTAAGACTGCAAATAAATCCTGGCCAAAAAAACTAAAACAAAACCATACTGTTAGCTGTGAGTTTGTTGTCAGCAAAGAAATCTTTGAGGCTTTTATATGAGCCATTATATTCTACTAAGTAGTAAGAGCTTAGATTGGTTGAACTGCTAAGTATCAATAGTCAGCAAAGAAAAAAAAATAGTCACCAAAAATGAACTTGAGTGTCTGCTCTATGCCAGTTGATATCTAAACTTAATGCCTTCTACTGATTCCCATTAAAAGCTAATGATCCAGGGAAGGACTCACCTTTAATTAAGGTCCCAGGAAAAGAAATTCTAGGAAGCAACGCAGATGAAGGGCTCTAACCCAGCCTATGGAATCTCCCCAGAGGCAGTCACATTTGAGGTGAATTTTTGCAGAATGAATAGGAGTTTGCAGAGCAAAGAAAGATCAGAATTATCAACTTATACAAAGGCCCCAAGGCAGGAAGATCTTGTCAGTTTGAAGATGGTGGAAGATCAGCAATAGCTGAGAATAAGCAGAAAGCTCTGTGTGTGTGTGTGTGTGTGTGTCTGTCTGTCTGTCTGTCTGTCTGTGTACATGTGTGACCAGGAGCCACATTCTCCACTGGGAAGCACTAGTGGGGCCTCTGAGTTTGGAGGAGGAGCCGGGAAGTAGCACCGCATCATGTGGACCCGGAAGGACTATGCTTCTTATTTACTGAGCCTAATTGTTTTCTTCTGCCCACCCGTTCCTCTGGGCCCTGGAGAGAGAGGTACCCTGCCCAAGGGAGGCCAGAAGGACGGGGGAGGGGGTGGCTGTGGGAGCTAGAAGAGATCTGGCAGTAAGAGGTGGGGGTCCCGTGGGAGCTGCCACACTCCCTGCTACCACCTGCTCACTCACTGGGAGGCTGCTGGGAGTGTGGGCAGAGGTTTGGGGACTTTAGGGACCAAGTGGCAAAGGAGCAAAACTACCCCCAGAATGTGCCCTTAAAGATGGAGTGCAGTAGAAAACTGGAGAGGAGAGGAGAGGAGCGTGGAGCAGCAGTCAGGGCGGTAAGCGCAAAACCAGCTGTGCACTAGGAGAAGCGAGGCAGATGGCCCAGGTTCTGTGACCCGGTGGCAGCATGAAAATTGCCCTTGCGAAACATCTTCTGGAGAAAATCTTTCCCTCCCGATACCCCTTGCTTGTGCACATCTGCTCTCAGACCGGAAGTGGCTCCCAGGGGGCTTCCCTGGAGTCTGGATCTGGATGGGACTGTGTCCCCAGCACCCAACTGGCTCTCTCCTGTGGTCCTTAGCCATGCTAGGTGAGGCCCTACTGGGTGCTCAGTGCTGGGGAACGCGGCTGCGCTGGCGCCTGCCTTTCTGATGACCTTGGCACCCTCCCCCTCTCTGGCTCAGGTTCTTTCAGTCCAGGCTGAGCTGCACTTGTGACCTCCAAGTCTGGAGGCATTGCCTGCCCTTGCTGAAGTCCATCTCCTTCTTCATTAAGTTTCTGCCTGACAGACTCCAGGCCCTAATTTATGGGCACAGCCTTTCCCAGGCTGGGAGAAGTGATGGGGGCAGTTAATATTGCTTTGGTGATGCACTTGGCTGCCTCCGGAGTCCCCTCCTCCACCCACCCCATCTTACAGCCCCACCCTCGGACCTCAGCAGGGCCTCTGGGCCATTGGCCAGGAGGTGGCCTGCCCCATGCAGACTCACCCTTCCTTGGATGGGTGTAGAAACTGGGGTTCAGAGGGCAGCACAGCCCATCCAGGCCATACAGACTGTCAGGAGCAGGTGCCCAGGGCTGTCCCCGCACTGCCCTGGGTTTGCATCCCTGGCAGGGCCACCCCTCCTAGCTTAGCATCTCCTTCCTGGAGCCACTGCAGGCCAGAAAAGAAAACAGAAAGTGAACAGTGGAGAGGTGGAAAGAGTTCCCCCCATCTACAGTTCCCACTGTGTTGCAGAAGCCCCACTCCACCTCTTATAGGCAGTAGCCCTGCTGGGGGTCAAGTCACCCCGCCCTGAGAGGAGAAAGATCTCCAAGCTCTCAGGTCTTGGGATTCAACCCATTCCTCCAGAGACATGTGGGTAAACTAAATCTGCCTTTTGTCCTCAGTCAAGATGATTTCCATGCCAGGTACCTGTGATTGGAAACACAGGGTTCCAGGTGGGTTTCTAAGATGACCACCCAAATGGCTAACTTTGGCATGAAAGGAGCCATTATCAATAATTGCATGGGAAGGCCAGCCTGATAGCTCAGCAGACTAAAGCACCTGCTTGCGCTGAGACTGCGGTCCGAGACCACGTGTGGTGGTGTGCACCAGCAATCCCAGCACTTGGGAGGCTAAAAACAGGAGAATCACTGAGTCCGATCTATGTAGTGAGACTCTGTAGACCCTGTCCTAAATACAGAAGAAAAAAAAGTTAATAATTGCATGGGAGCCTGGTATCATGGTGCATGCCTGTAACCCCAGCTCTCTGGGAGGCCGAGGCAGAGGGATTGCTATGAGTTTGAGTTCAGCCCAGGCTACATAGTAGGCTCAAGCCCAGCCTGAAATACATAGCAAGACCCTGTCTTAATAAATTAAAAGAGCTGGGCACAGAGCCCAGGGCACAAGCCCTGGGTTCAACTCAAGTACTACAAATCAATCAATAAGTAAAATAATAACTCCATAGGGGCAAGAATACACTTGACGGGTCCATCCTGGACTCCAGTGACTTTTGACCAGACCTACAAAGCAAAATACAAGGTACTAGACAGCCAGCTCTGGTTTGCCAGCCTCCTGGCACTAGGTGACAGACACGCTCCCTATTGGAAACTGCACTACTCGGCTCTCAGTAACTGCATCCGGCCGGTTGGTGGCCTGTGCCTTCGCTCAGCACAGCGCTCTGACAGCCCGGCCCCTCGGCTTTCCTGGCCTCACCCATTCTCGCGTTGCTCCACCACCGAGACCTTTGCCTGCGCTGACTGGTTTTCTTGCCCCTCCCGGGACAGAGGCGGGGCTTGTTCACTTTCCGGTACCCAGGCCTAGCGCACAGGAGATTTCTGAAACCCCCTTTAGCCCTGCCTCACCTGACAGAAATACGAAGTGCAAAGCAAAAGCCACTGCCCGGGGCACTATGATCTCTCTTTTTGCAAATGCGTGCTTCTTTTCATTCCTGCATCCTCCCGCCTCATTAACTGAGGTTGCGTTGCTAGGAGGTGCGCAGGTGGCCCTGCTCCTCCCTACTGTCCGAAGCATACACACACAAAATGCAGTTTTAGAGAACGGGATTTGCAAAACATGCTTTGGTCTTAGCTTCTTCACCTCAGCTTTTAAATAGGATTACAGCTTTCTGACCCTTCTGTAAAATAGGTGTCCGCCCCTAATTTACAGTGAATTCTGAGTCCCGGGGAGCTGCAGCGACATCTGTGGGCGGATCTGCGTCGCAGCCGAGCCAGCCTCCACTTTTCTTTGCGCACGTGCGCCGTCTGCTGGTGGAGATGGGGAAGTTCCTTCACTTAATCCCGGAAATAAGTCAAGGACCTCCTTACTATGTAGCAAGCGCTGCGCTAGGAAGAAATGCAATTTTAAGGAAAACTGACAGAGTTGTTGTCTTTATAAAACAATAGTAGTTATAAC